GTGTCCCCTGCATCGGCAGGTGGATTCTTAACTTTGCCACCAGGGAAGCCCCAGTACTTTTATTATTAAATCCACCTCGGGGCTTCCCTGGTGGCGCAGTGGTTGAGAATCTGCCTGCTACTGCAGGGGACATGGGTTCGAGCCCTGGTCTGGGAGGATCCCACATGCCGCGGAGCAACTGGGCCCGTGAGCCACAACTACTGAGCCTGCGCGTCTGGAGCCTGTGCTCCGCAACAAGAGAGGCCGCGATAGTGAGAGGCCCGCGCACCGTGATGAAGAGTGGCCCCCGCTTGCCACAACTAGAGAAAGCCCTACACACAGAAATGAAGATCCAACACAGCAAGAATAAATAAATTAATTAATAAACTCCTACCCCCCGGGCTTCCCTGGTGGCACAGTGGTCGAGAGTCCGCCTGCCGATGCAGGGGACACGGGTTCGTGCCCCGGTCCGGGAAGATCCCACATGCCACAGAGCGGCTGGGCCCGTGAGCCATGGCCGCTGAGCCTGCGCGTCCGGAGCCTGTGCTCCGCAACGGGAGAGGCCACAACAGTGAGAGGCCCGCGTGCCGCAAAAAAACCCCCAAAAAACAAAAAACTCCTACCCCCAACATCTAAAAAAAAAAAAGAAAGTTATAAATCCACCTCATCTCCTTTTATGTGACTCCTTGCCAGAAAAGAAATCGCCTAAGAATTTCCACTTGCCTGATTTGACATTTGTAAGAAGTCTTATAGTACTTTGATTTCACAAATATATTATCCAAAGTAACAGGTTTTTATAACCCTTGCCCTTTAAGGAGCCCAAAACTAATCTCAGAGGGAAATGACAAACCTTGCAAAAAATTATAAATATTATTTCTTTCCCCTATATTGTCTTGTGGTGTCGCTTAACTGAAACTCCCCAGTCTGTGACCTTGAGAAACCTAGAGGGCTAAACAGGAGGAGTAGAATATTGAAGGTCATCCCCTCCACAGCTACCCAAAAAGGGGAGCAAATATTCATTATAACAGGTAAAGTGTTTTTACAATTATGGCAGATGGTGATTGAAGCAAAGGCAATTCAGAAGGGGAGACACATGAAAGCAATAATTTTGAATGTTTGGCATTTGTTTTGAAACTACCTTACTACCCTACACCCTTTACCATCTGTCTGTTATCCCTCCCAACACCCACCTCTGTCTTCCCACAGGGCTCCATTGTCTGCAGTTCCTGTTTCTCAGGGGCGGAGCTGTGGGAGGCAGCCATGGGTGCCATAATAGGCACCTGCGGCCAGCACAATGGGCTGTGGGTGCTTGTGGGAGAGACAGATTGATGTATTGTGCATGGGGGAGGAGGGCTGTCACTTGAATCCATGTGAACCCAGGCTTTAGGGGCAAGGGAGATTGACAGCTTTTGTAGGTTGCATTTCTTTTTCAAAGCTTGGCTTTAATAGACAGTAAGTTTGGGGCCCCAGGCTTTCACTCCCATAATTCTAACAGGGCAATCACGAGTATTCAGCATTTCTTTTTACCCCCCTTGTTACGCATTAAATGATTTCAGTAAAGGAATGTGCAGCATTAATTAGAATTTGTTAGCAGATACCAAGGGGAAAAGTTTCTTCACAACAACTATAGGAGGTGTCATTTGTACAAAGACTTTTTTGTTTTCTTTCCCCATTACATTATCACTGCAATATGTAAGGTAGTGATTCTTTTCATTTAAATTAAGTGGAAAGCTACTAAATCTTGTTTTATTCTCCAAAAAGAATAAGGTCCTTAACACTTATCTTTTAACTTCTTTCATTTCCTAAGGTTGGTGTTTACTTTTGCTTTCAGTCCGACCCATGTACTGATCTGTGTGGTTGTGTATCCAGTTTTGTGTGCCATTCAGCTCTTACAATTACAGGCAACCAAATACTGATATGTAAGGATTGCTTCAGGTGAAAATAGCTACCAGTAATATTGAAAATCATTGACACACTGGGTCCCTTTTTGGAAATGGTACATTGAGAACTGCCAAAAATTAGACTCCTAGGTTTGTGTCCTAACTTATTTCCTAAAACTAATTTTCCCTACTTGATATTTAACCTTAGCTATGACATCAGATTTATGGAAGAATGGGGCAGTGGCCAAGGAATATTTTTTTCCTATAGAAAACTCATTCCTAAACTGTGTCAGTATTTTAAACATCAAAAGTACTTCCATCGAAACACACACAGATAGCATCATTTCCTTACAGCTAGTTAAGATGATCTTTTTTTTTGGTTTGGTTTGGTTTCCATTTTCTATTCTTTTTTAAAATTCCTCACATTTTAGACGTTTATAGGAGAAAAACCTCAGGTAGGTTATCTTGTAAACACACTCTTTGCAATCCGAGGCACTGATAAAACATTAAAAATTTTTGGTGTGATTTTTCTGAATTCTCTCTCGTATAAAATCATTTTCTCTATGGAAGGAGTTGGAGACTAATTGAATTAGAATTTTTCCCGTTCAGTTGTTTTATTTAAATGTGTTAAGGGCAACAGTGAAAAATATTGATTAAGTCTACCATTATTTCTCAGAAAGAACATATTCCCACACAGTTGTCTGGCTCTGTCTATTATAATAATTTGGTGCAATGGTTTAAAAAGTAGTGGGGTGATAATAATTAGGGTGTGTGACACAGAAATTTCAATGCTGGATTCAACATTTCACCATGCAGGGCAGGAAAATTGCCGACCGGGGCTAGTCAGCTCTAAGTACTAATTAACTAATTAATCAGGTGCTGAAACCAAATGAATGGAGGATACCAGCCAGGCAACTCAAGCCCAAGCAGAGGGTTGTGCTCTTTCAGACAGTGCAGTCTTTCTTCTTGGTTTTTAACCCAATCAAAAATGAGGGGAGAAAATAAGATATGGTGTCCTACTGTCAGTCATTTTGGTCCAAGTTTTTTACTTAGAGAAGATAAAATAAAAGCATGTGCCTCTTATAATAACTGTGAGGCACCATGTACAGGGCAATCTTGAAGCTCTAGCAAACCTGCTATCTCCTTGACCATGAACTGTTTCAGGGCTGGTATATGTGGGTGTGTGTAGGGCGGTGGGGGGAGAAGGCTCTGCCTTCTTGGGAGTTTTCTTCTACAATTTTTTTTTAACATAGGAGAATGAGAAACGTATTCCTCCTTTGGGGGCTGATCTTAGGTCTTTTGCCTCATCCCTCGTTTATGTAAATGAGAAGAGTCCAATTACACATATGGAAAAAGGGTTTAATGAATCGTGAAAAAGCCCGGTTTGCAGAGAAAGGGCACAATCCCCTCTTCTTCTTCTTCTTCTTCTTCTCTTTTATATTTAACTTAGAAACATATACATCTTTCAGGAAAGATGAAGCTTAATGTTTATATCATTTTTATATACTAAGTTTCATACTTGGGAATTATTGAGCATATTTTGCTAGAAGATTTAGCTTCCTTTATCTTTGGAAGGCTTTCTGGAGACTTAGCAAATATTCTACAACAAAAATTGCAAAACTTTTTCTCTAGAATTAAAAAAATTATTACGTTGGTTCCTCCCATTTTTATGTTATTCTTAGCTTAGTGATTTTTCTTAACACAGTTTGATCTGGAATTGTCTGCAATGAAAAAAGGGCTGCATCATTACAAGGGGTTGTTACTGAACCCAAGGAAAAGACTTCAGTATCACATACAGTTTTAGCTCAATTTTGGTATTCTTATGGTGTTTTAAGTAGCTAGAATTTTTGGAGTGTTGTAAATTAGGTAAACTTTTTTTTTTTTTTCTTTCCTAAAAGGCACTGAATTTTACACTGGAGCAGAAAATCCCGCGTTTGGGATTTCATTTTCCTGTTTTCTTTCCTCTAACTTCTTCATCCTGGTATTTTCAGTAACTGAAAGTAAACCACAAATAAAACCCCCCAACCCATTTTTTTTTATGACAAAAAACCTTGAAAGAATATGAGGGGAAAAAAATCAATGCCATTTCTGACCGTAACTCTTAGAATTTGATAAGTATGCAACTAGCCTGGAAGAGGTGCTTTACAGGGACAGCAGTAAAGTTCTAGATCACGACTGGAAGTGCTTTCCGGAGACCTAATCCAACAACCTTGTTGGGCACTTGGGGAAACTGAGGCCCGAAAAGCGGGGGAGGGGGGGCCGGGGGGGAAATGCCTGATGTGATTTTTTTTTTTTCCTTTACAAAATTACTGCTACGATCCACGGAAAACACTTTTCCTGGGCACCTACTGTGTGGGGGGCATTGCTGGGATTCAGACTGCCTGCCTATTCACGAGGGCCGTGCTCTTTCCACTCTAACCCCCGGCCTTCCCGGATCGGCGCCCTGGATGTGATCGACACCATGAAGTTGCCCCATAATCCTCTCTGGCAACATAGGATGTAAAATTTGATCAGCTCATTGGATGAAGCCGACAAGTCTCAAAAATGTGTGAAAAGGGGGCCAAGCGGTAGGCAGGCGCCGCGTTGAGGCAGCGCTCCAGCCGGCCCCCCTCCGAGTTCCCAGAGCGGCAGCCACGGCGGAGCGGGGGTTGGGACCGAGCTGCGGGACCGCGGCGGCGGCGACCGGGCGGCCGCGGCAGCTGCGGGGAGGCCGCGGCGCCGTTGGGGGGCCGTAGGAGCGGACCGCAGGGCCGGAAGGGGGCAGTGAGGCGGCGCCCGCGGCTGCGGAGTTATCTCCGCGCCGTAGCCGGGGGCCGGGCCGGGCCGGGCCGGGCCGGGCGGGGCCCGGGAGCGACTCTGGGGGCGGGGATGGGCGGGGCGGGCGGGGCGGGGCGGGGCGGGGCGTGCACCAGGGCCGCGGGCGGCGCGCGCCGGAACAGTTGGCCTCTGAGCCCCGCCGCCCGCTCTCCCGCCCGCCGGCGCACGCGGAGGAGGTGGCGGTGGCTGAGGCTGCTGAGGCGCCGGCGGCGGTTGCAGAAGGAGGAGGGGAGCTCGGAGCAGGAGGTGAGGTGGAGGTGGAGGAGCAAGAGTAGGCGGAGGAGGAGGCGGCTGTAGCGGAGAGGAGCGGCCAGAAGAAGGAGGATGGAGGAGCAGCCGAAGGAGGGCGAGGCCGAGGGCGAGGAGCACTGGTTCTCTAAGTGGGAGCGCCAGTGCCTGGCCGAGGCTGAGCAGGAAGAGGAGTTGCCCCCCGATATGCAGGAGGAGGCGACCCCTGAGGCGGCGGGGCTCAAGAGCGAGAAGCAGAAGCTGTGGCACCTCTTCCAGAACTCAGCTACCGCTGTGGCCCAGCTCTACAAGGATACGGGGTGCCAACAGCCAGGACTCTCCTTGTGGGACCCCTTCCAGAGTGCGGCCATGGCTGTGACCAGCCTCTACAAAGAGAGCGGGGATGCCCACCAACGAAGTTTTGACCTGGGCGTCCAGGTTGGCAACCATCGTCGCATCAAAGATGTGCTGGAATGGGTGAAAAAGGGCCGGAGCACCATTCTTCGAGAAGATCTGATTAGCTTCCTGTGTGGCAAGGTGCCCCCCGCGACTCTGCCGCCGCGCACCCCGAGGACGCCCCCGAAGCCACCCGCCGGGGCCCCCAGCCAGGCCGCGGCCACCGAATCCGGCTCGTCGGTGGACGTTGACCTGCAGCCGTTCCACGAGGCCATCGCCCTGCACGGCCTCAGCGGTGCCATGGCCAGCATCAGCGTGCAATCCGGAGCGCCCGGCTCCCCGCCTCAAGGCAGCGGTGTGGCCGCCGACGGCCACCGAAGACGTAGCCTCCTCGAGGACGACTCGAACCCCATCGACTCCGAAGAAGTGGCCCGCCACCTGGACAGTGGGGGGACCCGCAAGCGCACCTCGGCCCAGTGTGGTGATGGCGACACAGACTCCCCAACCCACAAGCGCAACCGAATGATCTAAATTGATCTAAACCACCTCGTGGGTCGCCAGCCACCATATTGCTCGGCCATCAACTTGCTCGTCAAAAGGGTTCTCGAGACTGTCTCTTCCTTCTCTAAGTTAAACAAAGAGTTCTATCAGTTTGCCACAAAGAAACTTTAAAAGTATTCCAGGACAGGCATCGTTATGACTCTGACTTTCCCAAAAATATAATACTAGCAGAGAACAAAAGTATAATGTAGTAGTTAGCAAGACCGTTTAATGCAGAAGTATCCGGTCAAGCGGGAGCTTGGTTTATCATGTTCACAGTTATATTTCTTAGCATCTGGCTCAGTTGCTGGTGCTTAATAAATGTTTGTTGACTGAATAAATGTGACCTTATTTAAAAGTCTTAAAGGGGAAGGACTAACAGGTGTTTGCTTGGTTATAGGATACTTTTATCCTTTATTGTTTGGTTGGTTGTTTGCTTTGACCATTTTTTTTGTTTTGTTTTGTTTGCCAGTTCAATTACACGTTATCAAAATGAAAAACTTGATATTTTTGTGAAATCTGGAGTTTTCCATTTTTGCTCCACTGTACCATGCACCTAATTTCTAGAAAGAAACTGTGCAAGGTGTACATATTAGCCTGTGAGTTTTCTTTTTTAAAATAGTCATTTTGGTGATTATGTGATGGGGTAAAGTGCTATGATGGTTGGGCAGGTAATACTTGCTATTGAGTCAATTTGATGCTCTTTTTAGGAATATTAAGCCAACAGCTGAGAGCCTGAGATCAAAGATGTCATTCCTGGTGGTGGTCCTTTTTCTTAGGGATTTAAAAAGTTCCTTTTTCTGAAGTTAAATCTTTTTGGTGATTTCTGTTTTGAAGTGGAAGCCGAAGTAGAATGAATTTCTGGGTTTTACTTAAGGGTATAGCATGATATAATTAAAAGAGCATGAGCTTTGATATTAAAAGGATCAACAGTAGAATCCTAGCCCCACAGATTCACTGCATGATTTTGGGCAAATCACTTAATTTCTATTGACCTCAGTTTTCTATCTGTAAAATGGAACTATGTCTCTCCTAAGGTCGTTGTGAGGGTAAGATGAAGTCCATATTTCAAGTACCTAGCACAATGGTTGGCACCTAAAGCATTAATGTTCTCCCTTCTCAATAAATAAAAATCAGTAAAACATTAAAATCCACTACATTTTAGAAAAAGCAGAAAAATAGATCACCTTAATCAGTAGAATCTCTGGGTTTGAGTTGGAAACTATTGTTATATAGTTGAAACTTGCCTAAATATCCCAGATCTTGTATTAATTATAAGTGTGTTTAGCTCATGAGTTCTCAGGATCATCCCTCTGGATGTTAGGGCAGACTTGTAGTTCCTAAAATTGCCTGAGGGATGCACCTTGCAGCTGGAGTAGTGAAAGATCTACCTCCTCTGGCCTGAAAGAATATGAGAAGCCGGGTAAGGACGGAAAGGGTGTGGAAATGCAAGTCCTAGGGACACCTAAAAGGCAAAAGTACTTCTGAATAGGGGTGAGGTGGAGTAGAGGTGATGAAAGGGGTAGACTGGGTGGGGTGGGGGGTGGAGGAGGTGGAAGTGAGGTTATGGAAGGGGTGGGGGGAAGTTAGAACGTGCAAATCTCCCCAGGCTCTCCCTAAACCAGTGCATAAAATAGCAATAGTATAAATAGATGAGTAATACCTTGCCCTTAGGTTCACGTCAAAGAGTTGTTTCTTTTTTTATTGGTGTGGCCTTTGCAATAGATTTGTAATTGACTAGTGCATTGAAATAATACAACAAAGTGAATTCCCTAATAGAATAAAAACTTGCTATTGAGGCACTCCACAAGTACATAGTGAGGCACCATGCTAGGCCCCAAGAAGGGATGTTAAAAAAACAAAAACAATCCTTATGCTCACAGAGCACATCCTGGCTTGGAAGATAAATTAATGTAGTCCAGAAAGCACTTCTGATAGTATGCAAAGCACTGAAAGGCTATGCAGAGGAATTCAGAGGCCAGAGGCCTTCCTTACCAAGAGGGTCACAGCTTCTGAAGGAGGTGGCATTTGAACTGGTGCCCAGAAAAATAGGAAGGGAGGGCACAGGGGATACTAGCAGGGGAAGGATATCTAACAAAGTTTGAGAAGGAGGAAAACAGTAAACTGGGTTCAGGGGGTCACAGGTGCTGGGTAGGGGGAGGCAGGGGAGGTAGGGGCCAAAGTACAGGGGGTCTCAAATTCTGTTCTGGGGCAGGGGGGTGACACCACCCAATCTGTGCTGTAGGAAAATTGGTCTGGCAGGATGCCTGGTTGTCCAGCGCTGACACACTGGAGCAGGGGATAACCAGGGTATCCCTGTTGGACGCTCTTTACTGGGGATGTTGCCATTTGGTTAACCAGGATTGTGGCGATATTTAACTTGACGGGGCTTTCTCGGGGAAGCCTTTGCTCACTTATACCCTCCCACACTTCAAACCATACCAGGTAGGAAGCACCTTCAGTGTGTGTTCTGCACTGTTTCTAGGCTGAGAAAGCCTTCAGTTCCAGCTGCAGAATCTCTTGGGGGCTAGTCTTGAAGTAACAGAATAGCCATGCCTTTTATCATTCTTCTGCTGCTTGTCTTTGAGAGCCCTCCTCCAGGGAATCACTGGGGCATTCGGGCTGCAAGACTGACTGAGCCACCGCAGCAATATTACAGGTAGGTATAGAGAGTTGTAAGAGGGCATGTCAGTATGAGGGCAGGGACCTCATTTGTCTTGTTTCTTTCTGTAATCCCCAGAGCCTAACAGTGCCTGATCCACGGGCACACAATAAATATTTATTTAATGAGTGGATGAGTAAAGCCCTCATCCAGACCCAGTTATAGCTATTCTCCCTTTCTCTGTTTACCTACTGCCCAGGAAAGGCACCTGAAGCCCATGCTCTAATTTCTAGATGATTCTCCCCTGTGTGCGTTTTCCTATTAGATTCAGCATTTTGCAAAGTGTGGTCAATCCCATGACCACCTCCCTTGAGAATCCCCTGAGTTGCTTATGAAGCTGGCAGCCTCAGAAGCACCTTCCAGGTGAATTACAATCTCAGTGGAAGGGTCCTAGAAGTGACCTCCTATCTGGAGGAGGCCTCGGTGATCATGGTGCACAGTGAAGTCCGAAACTCCAGTGACCCCATTGTGAGATTCATGATTGATTCAAGGGGCTCATTTTAGTATATGTGCTGCCGAAGCGAGCACTAAGGGGCTCATTTTAAATTGATAGTTGCTGGTGAACTTTCTGTGCAGGCTTAAAGTGAATCTCCCCATTTGTACATGTTATCTTTATTATGACTTTGCATATTTCATACATTTTTCTTCTAGGAGCACAGTTGAGAAGACTGAGGAAAAACAATATTAAGTTACTTATTTTGGTCCTTTCATAGGAGGCTGAGAGAAGGCTCTGACTTCCTCACCACTAGCTGAGTATTTTATCCATTAGACCATTGTTTCCTAATCAAAATTACGAACTGAGAGTCAGGAAACATTGCACTTAGATCACTTTGCCTTTTGTGAAATGATGATGGAGTAGAGGTCAGGGGAGGATTGGTTGTTAATCAGCCTGGGGCTTTGAGGAGGTTTACTGACCTCTTCCAGTAGCATGTGCTTGGTGGGATCCTTCCCAAATTTAGAACCAAGAGGGACCTTAAAGATCATCTAGGGCAGGGTTAACTATTCAGTTTACAAATGGGGCAACTGACCTCACTAGGGAGGGCCACAGTGACTTATTGGTAAGACTGCTGCCCCCTACCAGGTTCCAGTCTGTTGTTCACTTCCCTGGACCTCCCTTAGTCATATTGTGTATGGCTGTTTAATTAATATGTTGATGATCAAGTGGAGCTAGGAAACTTGTACTGTTGTGAAGCCTCTCTTTACTCTGTTGTGTGTGTTTGGGGGAAGCTGTTAGAGTTGTGCATTCAGGAAACATGGCACCCCTTCCCACCACCACCGCACTCCAGCCACCAGCAAAACTGGGCCACTTAAAGTTTCCTGAACTTTTGATCATCGCTGGCCTCTGGGCCCTTTTACCTTATTGCTTCCTTGGGCTCTGATGCCCTGCCCTAAACTCCTTTTTGTCTACTTCACTCCAACTCAGCCTTCAAAGCTCACCTCAGACTTTACCTTTTTTTTTGGATACCTTCCTTGCCCTTCTAAGTTGGGATTAAATGGCCCTCCCCAGAGTTCCCACTTCGGACTTATCATTGTGTTTGTCAGCTTGTGTCTTTGCCCCACTAGATTGTAATCCACCAAGTTTCACCCCAAGAGGGTCTCTTTCCTAGGAGGTGTGTAAGAATCTCTATTACTGCGTGTGTAGGCTGAAAAGGAATATTCAACATTACACTATACTTTTTTTTTAAATGAAAGAATTATTGTCATAAAATTATATTGTGAGAAGAAAAGCTCAAAACAAAACTTCGAAGGGGTGGTTTTATTCTATCAGGTATTAAATGTGCTTCCCCAAAGAAGTGTAGCATATAAAATGTTATTAATGTTCTTTCTCATTTGTAGATATAATTGTACTGTCTCAGGCTTCAGTGGCAAGCATACAGGATCCTGGCTTAAGCCTTGACTTTTCCCAATAACTGAACTTGAGCAAGTCAGCCCTTTTTCTGCTTGATATATGAAATAAAGGAGTTAGTTGTATTAGATGATCTTTAAGGTCTCCAAAAGCTCTGGCACTTTCTGATCTGTGATTTAATTCAATAAGCAGCGGTAGTGATAACCTTTTTTCTGTGATATTATCATTTAGATTATCTAGTGTCTGACCAGCTGAGTTCTGTGAGCCCCTTGAAATCAGGACTGCCATCCTGAAACAATTCCAAACCAGGAGACTCACTGGGTGGTAGTGGCATGGCCACTTGTAAGATGGGAATGTATATGCACAGAGCAGCTTACCTTTCTCTCTTTTGGTTCCGTCTTCCTTAGGAGGTCAAGAAGTTAAAAAAAAAATTTTTTTTGAATACTTAAGGCGTATATTACAGTCAAATGCCTGCTTATTTGG